CTCTCTCTCTCTCTCTCTCTCTCTCTCTCTCATCCTTTTAAAGTATTCATACATGAGATTTCCCATTTGTCAGTTTCCTGATAGTGTTTGATGAAGTGCCAGTAAATTACCAAATAGTGTGTGAAAGAAATGAAAAAGGAAAATGGGGAGTAATTCTTTCTGTAACACTTATAGTGTTATGTGATTCACTCCAAAATGTAGTATTATTGTTTCAACAGTTTTAATAACCGGATAAAAGCTTCAAAAGTTTTTTTTAAAGCTTTTTTTTTCGAGCGTCTACTCTTGTTTCTTGAGTTTGCCTTTAGTCACAGCTAGTTTTTAGACCAATGAAAACATCTCAGTGGTTTCAAACAATAGCCTGGCAGACGGGATGATTTCCGGCTGTGAATGGACACATTTACATTGCTTTTGGATAAACTCGTCTGATAAATTGTTCATGCAAGACTAAAGAAAAAAATACAAGGAGAATATGGATGCCGATGCACTAACACCAGTTATTGAAGCTAATAACACACCTTCAGATTCAATTTAACTGTCAGTTCATGTACAATATGTTGCTTTGAATATACAGTAAGTGTGTTAAATGACGAATTACTGAAAATAGCACTTTACTGCTGAAGTGAAACAATAATCATGCTTTTCTAGAACGTTCTTGTTCGCTCATATGGAGTGTTAGGAAGTCTGATTCATTTAGTCATTTTGTTTGGGCAGTCGATGCACTATTTAGTTTCATTTTATTGTCTCGTTGTTTGAGATATTTAATTAGATGCATATGTTTGTCACTGATTTTCTTACATAAAGGGTATTTCTGGTGGTATTTTATTTTTTAGAATTAATTTAGATAGCATTAAACCACCCTGAGAAGTATTTACTGGGGTAAAGTGTGTAACTTGGGTAAAGTAAAAAAAAAAAATTGAAATCAATACTTTTATTTAGCAAGGATATTTTAAATTGTTCAAAAGTAAGACATTTTGAACATTCTATTAATCAAAGAATCCTGGAATTTTTTTTATCACGGTTTCCACAAAAATATTAAGCAGCACAACTGTTTATTAATATTATTTTGCAATAACAATAATATTTCATAGTTTTACTGTTCTTACTGTATTTTTTTTTCAAGCCTTAATTGGTAAGAAACTAAGCATAAGCGGCTTACTCCCAAACTTCGAAACGGTAGTATGTTTTTTTTTTTTTTTTTGTAATCTACTTTTTATTTTGATAAACCTTTAATTCTAGATGTTGGTGTTGTGTCTCTTGTCTAAAGATCTGTGTTCCCAAATGGACTTTCTCATGAATACTCCATTATTGCCACGTTCCGCCTCAGAAAAACCACAAAGAGAGATCGCTGGTTTGTTCTGCAGATCTTTGATAAAAGTGGAGATACACAGGTGTGTAAAATATTTTAGATTTCATTAATTTTTTATCTGTAAAATAGACATTGATCAATCAGGGTATGCTCAAAACTAGGGATGCACCGATATGAACATTTTGGCAAATACCGATAACTGATAATTCTTTATATTTGAAAGCCGATAACCAATATATTGGCTGATAAATAAATCCAAATTTTTATATCATTTTTAAGAGCCTGATAAAATAAAGTCTCTCCATTAAATGTCATGTCCCAATCAATCACACAATTTTAATGTTCACATTTTAATTGTATGTAGCTTATATGACAGACTTGTGCTGCACATGTTGTACTTAACTGTATTTTCCTTTTTTGAAGTGATTCTAATTATATTTCCAGCAATTCAAAACCATGGCTAACAGTGCGCATCTGAAATGTCTCGGCTGAAAGAAAATGTTTATTATTTATCGACTTTAATATATCGGCCAATAACATTAAAAATGAACATTTCAGTCGATGCCGATAATGGTGGCTGATATATCGTGCATCCCTAGAACTTCTACAAGACTGACAAAATGATCATTATTTAAATAGAACTCTTGCAAAGCAATCTCTTCAGACTTCATTCAGCTTATCTCATTAACTGTCTTAATGAACCACTAATGTTCATCTTTTCTACTTCATTTAGGTGTCATTAATAGTGGATGGGGCTAAAAAAACAGTAGAGTTTTTAGCTCAGAGTTTTCTGAAGAACAGCCTCCTGTACATCTTCAAGAACCGAGACCTACACGCCCTCTTCGATCGACAGTTTCACAAGCTGGGCGTTTCTGTCGAGAGCAACGCCGTCTCCATCTACCTGGACTGCAAATTAATCGAACGTCAGGTGACTGCTGAAAGGTCTGGCATGGATGCGAGCGGACGCACCTTCATCACCACTCGAGTGGAGGACGGACGTCCAGTGGATGTGAGTTTTGGACCGAGGTTCTCATCAATGGTCATAAATAAGGCAACACTCAGTTGCTAACGCTGAATATGAATGCAAACACTTGGAACATTTAGTACAGTTAGTGAATGTGAAGGCTCACCTCAAACTATGATGGCAACCACTAATATATTAAGGGAACTTCACTAACTTCAAGTCTGAACCTGTTTACTGCCAGTCTGTTGCATTCGTTTATCAGTTATGTGTGTTCATGGCAATAAATGTCAGTTTACCTTTACAGATTGAGCTTCAAGAGATTCTGATCTTCTGTGATTCTAGAATAGCCGACCTGGACAGATGCTGCGATTCTCCTGGAGTTACGGTAAGATACAGGTGTATGGTCCTGCAGTGTGATACAAATCCTAACCGACTGTAAACCCAGCCCATCATTTTTGCACTAAACTTATAGTCCACCTGTGGTCAATAATTGTAACCCTTAAACCTCAAGTTTGATCACCAAAATGACATATTTAAAAGTTTTTCCCTTGAAAAATAAATTCTTCATGCCTTAAAATAGCTTGAATGTAACTCTACACCCTTGCCTCGTTTAGTATACACGGTTCTATGAATATGCAAATTAGCCCCGCCTCCACTCACTCACACCAGCTCAGAGATCCACTCGTTGACCTGATTGGTTTCAAGGTAGTTTACTTTGTGACGTCAGAAACACCAGCGGTTTCAAACCGCAATTTTTGAGACTGTCTTTGGTTCACTGCGGTTTTAAGGAGAAAATACTCAGCAATGGTGCTCACTTATGAATTTGTGGTATATTAAAAATACCACATAGACATATAAACAACATTAAAGTCCCCATGTGGTGAAAATCAACGGTGTAAAGGCTTGACATATTCATAAAATAATATTTGAACCGGCCAGTCACATTTTAACACTGCTTTTGAATAACCTTATTCTTTCAGGTAATGTTTGAAAGATTGAAGTGTCTCTTTTTGTTTGATTTGTTGGGGTAGTTTTCAAAGGCTCCATTCCAAAATCAAGTGAGCTACCTTCCATCTGCTGCTTACATAGACAGCTTCCTCACAAGTGCACAAGTGATGGTTTTGTTTGAGAAATAGACTTAAGTTTAAGGCATTGGCTGAACATTTTCAGTTTTTGGTCAATATTTATAATCATCTCCCTTTTGCCCACTGGTGTTTTCAATGTTTTTTACTGATCTCATTGCAGTGCACAGTGCAGTGGATTTCCTTCTCTGCAAAGGATCTATTTACATTTATTCATTTAGCAGAAACTTTCATCCTAAGCGACATACAATTGAGGAATACAACAAGCGATTCATCTTAAAGAGGCAATAAAGAAGTGCTAGCAATACAAAGTTTAATTAATTGCTCAGGATATTACAAGCTAGAATAGGGAGAGATTTAGAAATATTGAGAGCATAGACAAAGTAATATAGTCAAGTAGATAGATATTTTTTTAAGTAGGGATAGTTTCACCCTAAAATGAAAATTAAGTCATTGTTTACTCACCCTGGTTTAGTTTGGATGCTGTGTGGCCTTCTTTCTTTTATGCACCACAAAAGGAGAATTTTGAAAAATTGTACCTCTCGCGCTTGTCCATATCAAGCGTGCCGCACAAGCCCTCAAAAGTGAAGCCAAAACGTCTTGAAGTGAAGCCAAAACGTCTTGATCGCCCCCCCGGTGACCGGTCCTAGTATAGGTCATAAATCCCGCCTCCCCATGTTATTCAACGGGACTTGAGACCAACTAAATAATTAAATTACACTTTACATATCTTTTTTCTAAAGATAGTTTCTGTCATTTACTGTAGTTTCTATCACGTTGATGTAATTTCAAGTGTTTGTTTTTAAAATAAGTTAGTTTTTAGCTAGTTATTTGATGCTATAAAAACGGTGCTGTGACATCATGATTGACAGCTGTGATTGACAGCTTCTCTGTGCGAAGTAGTCACTGAAGTACTAACAGACTTTTTTTCATAATGTTGACTATGTGGTTAGTAGTTGTATTTACCTTATTTTAACGAGGTACTGCAATCAGCAGACATCATTGGAGAGGAACGGAGCAGACAAGGCCACTTAAGAAAAGTGCAGGTGCGTGTGCTTACGATTGATTCAGCGAGAGTGGGGGCGGGGCCTTGATTTCGCGGCTTTACTTCCTGCTCACTACTGCGCATGACTGGTCCAGAAAACGCTACTGCGCAAACTCAAATTCCAATATGTCTGCGCCATATCGGGACACTGGCGGCTTCAGTTCTCTCCAATGGAAAAGAGCGAAGGGGCGTCGTCCATCTTTTTTTACAGTCTATGGTCCATATAATGGCAGTGAATAGCGATCAGCATCAAAAGTATCACCGAATAGTCCCATGCAACACGTGGCGTATTCCAAGTGTATGGTAGAGTTTAGTTAAAAACAAACCAAAATGTAATCTATTATTTAAAGAAGTTCTTGACTTTGGCCGTTGGTCTTCTGTGCTCAACTCAAGGGGGTAATCCACCAGCCGGAAACTGAAGTCTGCCTGGGGGGCCGCCATTGGCTAGCAAGCCTTCACCTGCTGTTAGCATTCCATTGACTCCCATTCATTTTGGCGTCACTTTGACAGCGAATAACTTTACATCCGAGGCGTTTAAAGACTCCATTTGTCCATTGTTTATTTCTAAAGAAACACGACAATGTATAAAAGGCTCCATTACCTTGTATCTTACGTTATGGCCCCGTAGAAGCAGTTTTTGTAAAAATAGGCTAACGATTGCGTCATAACACGCGACTCTCTGTCGCACAGTAGAGAAATTACCGTATAGACAGGAGGAGAAGCTCGCCGCGCAATCGGGGGGACGTGGAGGCATAAAGTCAAGGGAGAAGCCCATAGAGAGTCATAAAGTTGCTCCTGCTGCTAGCTCATGAACAGCTGCTACTAGCTCATGAACAGCTGCTACTCACGCTCTCCGTCTCTGCAAGATTCGGAAGGGAATGATTCAGATTCCTCTTGGCACAGCTACTAGAAGACGTACGACTTTGAGTCAGGTTACTCACGTCACATCAACGTCGTCAAGCTCAGTTTGAGCCTGCGCAGTGCGCTCAGCCTTCAGGAAGTGAGTGCTTCTAATTGACTTCACTTTTCTCCGTTGAAGTATATGGGGTCGCTGTGTCCTTTTTTTTTACTGTCTATGGCTCGACTGCACAACGTGAGTGTTCGTGCGACTCTATTATCTCCGCGGTTTGCTCCGTCTCGCCCAGAAAATGCACACAAGTTGTGAGAAATCAAGCTTAACAATTCTTGAAAATTGTCAGGGATTCGGCTGTCCTGATAGGGCTTGGAAGATCATTCCACAGCAAGAAATGAAAACGTTCTTGAGATTGATTTTTGTGCCTCTCTGTAATGGCACTGATACCACAAGGCACTGCTCACTTACCGACCGAAGGTTCCTGGAGGACATGTAGACTCGTAAGAGAGTGGCGGATCCCGTGTGACATGGGCTCTTTTGGGTTTGTTGCCTCAGAATTTGACCTAAATAAGGCATTGTACCTTTTGAAACACTTAAAATGCTGTCCATGTAGGCAATGCAGTAGGTTTTGGAACAGAGCCATTGCAATTTCCATGTATTGTTGTTGGACAATGTTTCCACTGTGGACAAATCACTTGAGGGCATCCTTTTAGCTCGCGTTGCTCCAGGCAATAATTTCTGATTAATTAAAGGCAACATACTGTCTTAAACGATTGGATTAGAGAAAATCCACATCCCTGCTCAATGTTGTAATTGGGACATGGTCTTTACATTTGTTTGCTAATCCCCCTTCTCAGCGTTTGGGATAATGTTTCATTTGCGATTTCCACATGGAAGTGGAATGGTCCAAGTGGCTAACAGGGCCGGTCAAGTATTTGGGCAACACATTCGATTGCCTTAGGCACCATCACTTTATTAACAATTATTGTAGGGCTTTGAACAAGATATATGTATATATGTAACAAAACAATGACCAAATGATGAGATAATTTAAATAATACATGGTTTATATTTAAAAGTTGAACTACCTTTTTTGCAATTATTGACTTTTTAATGTTTTTAGAGCTGAAATAAATGTACTAATAAATGAAATAAATGTATTAAATAACCGTCCTCTGTATGTTTTGGATTCACTAAAAAAACTGCCTCTTAAGCATAATTTATTTGGAAATCCAAGGAGCCCCTAAAGGGACATGGGAAAGGAAAAACATGAAATGGGAGGAAAATTATTTGTCAATGCTTTTGTTGTTTTTTGTTCCCTCGAGAAACTTTGCATTCGTTCGCAAAGAACATGTTTTGCGAACAAATGCAAAGTTTCTCGGAGGAACGCAAACTTTATGCGAGCGAATGCAAAGTTTCTCGGGAACGCAAAACATTTACGAGAGAATGCAAAAGCATTGACTTTCCTCGCATCTCATATTTTTTTCCCACCACAGTGTCCCTTTAGGGGCTCCATAGGAATAAGACTATATGGTTTGGTTTTAATTTCATTAAAAATAACTTCTATATAACTTGAATAACTTCACTGAAAAAAATCTATCATTGTATGACTATGTTGGCAATTCAGAAATGTGATTCAGAGAACTTTCTTTTGAACAAAATAGTTTCTCACACGTAAACCAAATACTATAGGACAAAGAGAACAAAATGAGTGCTGGAAGAAAAGGTTGTTTGCCTACAATATATACAGTAAATATGGTATTTACTCTTTAATTTTGCACAGTAATACTGAAGAAATTTGTAAAATAGTTTACAATAAGGTTCATTAGTTAACATTATTTAATGTATTAACTAACATTACCTAACAATGAGCAATCCATTTGTTACAGTATATATACTTTTGTATTAACTAACTTATTTAATGTTAGTTAATACACATTCTCATTGTTTGGTCATGTTAGTTCACCGTGGATTAGCTAATGTTAACAAGTGCAACCTTTGATTTTAATAATGTATTAGTAAATGTTGAAATGAATATTAACTAAGATTAATAAATGCCGAAGAAGAAATGTTCATTCTTAGTTCATGTTAACTAATGAACCTTAATGTAAAGTTTTACCAGAAACTGCACACATGCTCTTCCCAAATTCTTCAGAATTGAACTCATATTAATATGACTTTACAGCACCAAATGATACATTTAGCAGAACAAAGTTTGCCAGTGTCTTGCATTTCAGAAGATGCATATGCATGTAGAAAATCCCCCACATATCCTATTCAAAGCATAATAATTGATCATCTTGGTCTACAATAATTGTCTGAATAATTTAACACTGTCTCATGCATTGCCTTATTTTCAATCTGACCAGTGTGAACCTGTAGTGACCCACAACCCCACAGCGGCCCCGCTGGTCACAGGATACCTCCACAGAATGCTGTCCATGCCAGCTCAGCTCCCCACCGACCGATGCCACTGTCCCGCTCTGAAGGTAAAGTTAAACCATGAAAGCATTCCTAAAATGAGCGAGTTAGCACTCAACAATGGATCCTGAGGTAATGCCGCATGCAAAATTAATGGCCAATTAAAGCACATTTATGCCAGTCCGTATACCTGGATGACAGCCAGAGACAGAAATAACAGCTTATTAGAAGCAATTTAGCACAAATAAGGGGGTGTTTGGGCACAGACATGCACTTCATCAGCGGGCGATGCTCAGCTAATCTCTTCTGAAGTACAAAGAGCCAGAGTTCAGGCTAGGACTCCTCTTTGAATTTTGATCACAGTGTTTTAGACCTGAGCCCGTTTAGCATATTAACATTGCATTATGTAACTTATGTGTATTTAAAAGGGGGATCAAGGGCTTCCGGTTTTGGCAGGACATTCTGGACAAAAGGGAGATAAAGGAGACATGGTAAGGAATGGGTTTCATCAATCACGCATTGATTCTAAATAATACAAAATGGCTTAGTTCTTTGTTCAGTGACATTTAATAGATGTGTCCTTTAAAAGACGTGACAGAGTGCATGCGCATTAAGATTCACAAATCTCTGGTTTTCAGTACAAGTTGCTTTATGGCAGTTTTCTTGTCATTATCATAACATTTGTGGTACACTTTAATTCGTTAGTTATTATTATCCCAACACATTTTTGACTTCTCTGTGAGGTGTTAAGGATCTTGGCAGTAAATAGACATGTTCCCTTCCTTGTGTCACTTAGAGTTTGGAGCCACTGTAAGAATGTTTGGAATTCACACAAATGAACAGCTGATGATATATTTGTTAAGGACAAATGGTCTTTAAGGTCATTAGTCAAATTAGTTTGTTGTGTTTTGGAATAGAGACGTTTCTTGACAAGAACCACTTGCTTAGTCCGGGGTGGGAAATTCGGAATGCCTTTTGGGAACAAGCAGCCAATAAATTCGCACTCCTATAGGACCAACTTCTGAGAAATGTTGCTTTACTTTTTACATATTTAATGCGGCTGCTGCCAAAATAGTTGTTTTTTTGTTTTCAAATCCGGTAGGAAATGAGACTACAGTTTTTCTATTGATCTCTTCCAAATTATCCTGCACAACAGTCACATTACTGTGGCCTTTGTTGCAAATGGAATTGTTGACTATGTGTATGACATTTATCAGACACATGTTTGTTCAGTTAATTGCTCAGTCCAACAACAAAGCTTCCTTTATATCTTGACAACTGGAGTTTGTTATATTGTTGCATTTTGTTGCTCCTGCTGCTTCAGACGTCAAGTTTTTCAGTGATTGAATCCTGATTGAAACGAATGACTGTTCAATGTCACGCTAAATGTGTTTCATGAAATATCATGCAGTATTTTCTCAATGTAATAGAATATACAGGACAAGTGTAATTACATTTGTCACAAGAACATGACCAATAGCACATATTGAATTTATGATGCATTTCCAAGACATTGCATCAGAGCTGTGAATTTAAAATTTTAACGGAGGCCTACTGAAGGTGAAAGTGAATTTTATAGTTTTCCAGGTGCCTCTATGCTTGATAAAATCATTGTTTGGCTACTGGAGTCTCAAGTATCGTTACAGTATACGGGCAGATAATTGGATAATTCAGCATTTCATGACACTCTAGGCTATTGTTTTCTTTTTTTGTGGATCGCTACACTGTGTATGTGCATGCTCCGGTTCTCAAGTTGTCATGGCTGGAATGCTACATAGCTCCCGTGGAATAAGTGGACAATCCCATGGGATATTCTAGGATCGGGTTTAACACTTGTCGGAGACTCAAATCTCCATTTGCAGTAGTTTAAAGTCAATAGGTCATCACAGAGAATTTTTTTTCTTCCATTGTCCTATTTTAGAATGAAACACGCTTGCATATCTGCCTCTGACTTTCGTCTTGTCACAGTAGGGCGGTCGTTAATCAGAGCTCAGTGTCAGAACTGTCGGGACACACTTAAATTGTTGCCCCTTGTTCGTGATGGTATTAGACGAAGGGACATTAACATTCTTCTAGAAAGCATTTTATTGGACAATGAAACTATATAGACCTTAGTGAACAAGTCATTCATTTTCTTAAATTTGACTTTGATTTCTTGGGGGACATTTAGACACTTATTTTGTTGCCATTTTCTCATTTAATGTCAAATATTTTAGCATATTTGTCTTTGGACACAGTGAGCTACTTAGTCTGGACAGACTCAGAGCTCACAAATATGGACTAAAAGACAAAACCGTACATTTTTAATTGCATGAGGTCTTTTTGAGTGTTATTTTGTTAGCAGTTATTGTCTAGTATAAATTATTCATACATTTTTGTCTAAAGGGTTTTGTCTTGCCACTCGCTCATTATATAAAATTCACTGTCAAAATAGTCTTGACGCACTTAATTTGTTGGCCATATTAGTAGTAGTTTTATGAATGTGTAGATTAGAAAAGTTTGCACTCATGGCACTCATTAAGTGGGTGTAAAGTTTTGCAAACAGAATATAATTAACTTCTTTCCATGCTCATTTTAACAACTTATTTTTCACAAGACCCCATAAAACTGTTTGACAAATGTTTTTTTTCTTTCTTGTGACATATTTTCTTTTAATATAGTCAATAGCCTTTGTTTAATGGCACAGCAGTGTACCATTTTCAATTTCTAATGCTACACAAAAAAAAAAAAGGCTTTTTCAAAAAAAGATTTACGAATGTCAATTGTATAGGAAAATTTCATAAAATGAAATGAAATAATCCTTACATATTATCAATTAAGAATGTATACTAATGTTTTATTAAGCTCTAGTTTTTTACTTAATATTCATAATCCATAATATGAATAATATGTAAGGATTAATCAATTTAATTTGGAATTTTACTACAATTGAAATCTGTAAATCTTAAAAACGGGCTGAAATATTGTTTTTAGTGCTGTTTCAGGTGTTATGATGGGGAGGGACACTCTCATTCTAGAAAACATTTGCATTGGCCCCTGTAAAGTCATTTTTATTAAAATGTTGGTTGTTTTTGCGTGTCAAAGTGTTTGTCATCTTTTAGTAGTGTTCTGCTGGCATAACGTTGGCCTAATAAACGACATGGCATCTTTATGTAAATTATCGTTGTGGTTACATAAGCCTATTGTGTGTATTTGCCACATTTACATTAAACTCATAATGCGAAAGCTAAGCCCCATTTTTCGGAGGTTGTTTAAGCCAAAAGGCTCATATCCAGCAATGGGTGAAGAATCGGGCCCACCTTTTTTTTTTTTTTTTTTTTTTTTTTTGCAATGTGGGAATTCATGGATGTTGGAAACTGAAAACGCATTACAGATAAACGAAGCACACGCATTTCACGGCTGGCGATATTTCCGGCGTCTCCTGCTGACTCTGTTCTCTTATTGCTTCCTCAAAGAGAAACATTTCAATATCATAGACGAGCAAGCTGGTATCAAACAGGGATTTCAAGCTTTGTGTTGGCGATGTAATTTGTCAACGACACACCATTCTTAGTGATGTTTTTTATTTTAAGAAAAGAAATGCAAAGTTATGGAGGATGGGAGGATGCATATGTATTAGAGCACAGGCTAGATTTACTGCAGCACGGTGAATGGAAAAGGGGGGAAATAAAATCTTATATTTATAGACTGCAGGCAGAACTTATTTACTTACTAGAGTGTCTATCTTTGAATTGCCTGATAGTATTTTTCACTATATTGAATTGCATGGTGTCTTGTGTACCATTCATGTATTCTAAAGGATCTGTATTTTGCTTTTTGCAAGCATAATGTATGCTAAAAACCAATTGTGTTTAAATGTTTTAACCTAAGTATTAACTTAAATCCGGTTACATTAAACATTAGATGAATAAACCAGGCAATTAGTGTAATATGTTGTAAGACTACTAACCAACAGCCATTTAATGCACTTACAGAACATGGTCTTGAGAGCCAGGTGTTTAATGGATGTATTAGTGATGCGTTTCATTAAATCTTTTTAAAAACCGAAAGAAAGTCACAGTCTCTGACCGTGAACACGGTCAACCCCAGAAGAGAGACCGAATATAAAATGCAGCCGATTTGCAAGGTAGTGTACGGCTATTACAGCGTTCTGAGCTATTAAGCTCACCGAATGTCACCCAAAGGTTAATTGCAGTGACCTACACAAGAACCCTTTCTGTGGATCACTTCGAACGTGTTTCTCAAAAGAGTTTGTACCCAGCGATGAAAATTGCCAGTCGCAATCGTGTTTCATGGATTGAGTGAAGTGGGATTAATCGCATGAGGAGTTCTGTTCAGAGCGAACCAGCATTTCTAGATCCTTAATACTAGCCGATGCACAACACGTCCAAAATGCAATTACCTGGGCTGGTTTTGTTGTTATGGAGATGTACTTTCTGACCACACTGCCTCCCTTAGAGTTCTCTCTCTCCCTGTAATCCAATATTCGACTAGGAACCAAAACGACATGAGTGATTTTTGGGCAGCAAACCTAAATTCAGGGGCCACCGGCATGCTTGAATTATTTATGAACCGGAGTAGTTGTTTTAATGGCCTCGCAATTCATTAAAGCTCACTCAATATTGTTATTTGTAAACGGATTAAAATCTAGGGAATGTCAAAGTTATTTTTAGGTGAATTTGACAGCATGAGTGTAGCTTGATTGATGGACCCTATGGCTTAATGACAAAATAGGAAGTTGGTGTTTTATTGTTTTTCCCTCCACCACTTCATTTCTTTGTGTCTACTGCAAATTTCAGTGAAAAACTTTCACTGTAAAACAAAACAAAACTGTTTGTTCAGCAGATTATCAAGTAAAAGAAATGAACACAACACTTAGGGCCCTATCATACACCCAGTGCAATGCGGCACCAGATGCGATCCAAGTGTGTTTGGTTTCACTTTATTTTGATAGTCCATTTAACACATTTTGTTGACTATAAGTAATGTTGCATCTACATGTCTACTAACTCTCATTAGAGTGTTAGTAGAGTATTAGTAGACTGGCAGGGTTAGAGTTAGAATAAGTTGACATGTACTTGCAAAGTTACTTATAGTCAGTAGAAAGTCTGTTGAAGGACCAACACAATAAAGAGTTAGCAGATATAAAGCAGACCGTCTACTAATACTCTAATGAGAGCTAGTTGACATGTAGTTGCAAAGTTACTTATAGTCAACAGAATGTTCAAAAGGGACCATCAAAATAAAGTGTTGCTAGCTTCAGCCTGACGCAGTTATCATTTTCACGTCCTGCGCCACGTTGTTTAAATAGCAAATGCATTTGCGGCCATCTGTTCGCTCATTGGCGTGCTGGTCTGAAAACGAGGTGTGTTCGGGCGCATTGTTGGCGCGTTGCTATTTTGAGGCAACTGAAATGGACTGCGCCATTGACCAACTGAAACCTGGTCTAAAGTCAATGGCGCAATATTTATTTTTTATTTAAAGAGCGCAT